CCAAAAAAGTGTTCGCTGCGCTGATTCCAACACGGGATTTTCTCGAGGGAATCGTACACGTTTTGTTCCTGTGGCATGATGAAATTTCACGGCGAGCTATACGGCGCTCGTATTTGTTTAAATACAATACATAAAATCTGTAACTAAGCTTTTGCATGATTGTTGACCACATTTACCTAGTAACTACACATCCAAGGATGCCACGAACAAATTTTCAATCATTTAAATCGTATGTTCAGTAACCTTCTATTATTAAATTTTATCAGTGACTTACTATTTTAGTTTACTTAGAAGTAAGTAGAAGGCGCTATTATTAGATGAAATTATGAAAGGCAAATCTATACTATCTAGTAATATCAGCGATAGAAGCGAACATTTATGTATTATATCAATAATGCATAAAGGGATGTCAAATCTGTTAAAAGTTCTGTTTCTGTTAAAAAATACGCTATCAGCGCCGCTAGACGCTAAACTATTTAGTTATATCAGCATATGACCATATTATCTTTAAACTTGCAACATTGTGTTTAGTTATTAATATCTTCAAACGATTTCTATTCATTGATTTGTTCATGCTTTATCATGACATGGTCAACAAGCAGTGTTAAATATCATGAAATGACCACAACATTTCATGAAATGACCGACAACCGATGGGGAAGGTTCTCGAGTGGCAGCGTACCGGTAGGCGAAGTGTAGGGCGACCCCCCACGAGATGGAGTGACAACCTCGTAAGACATGCAGGAAGTCGATGGATGCAGGTGGATATATATATATCATCATTACAGGCTTTCATAAGTCCACTGCTGAACATAGGCCTCCCGCAAGGAATGCCACAAAGCACGGTCCTGAGCCACCTGCATCCACCGACTTCCTGCATGTCTTACCAGGTTGTCACTCCATCTCGTGGGGGTCGCCCTACACTTCGCCTACCGGTACGCTGCCACTCGAGAACCTTCCACATCGGTTGTCGGTCATTTCATGAAATGTTTTGTTCATTTCATGATATTTAACACTGCTTGTTGACCATGTCATTATAAAGCATGACCAAATCTATGAATAGAAATCGTTTGAATAATATATATAATATATTATATATATAATCATTGGGATGACAAAGAAAGATAGTGCTCTTTGACTCGCTTTTTGAACACGGACACTGTTTGAGCCTCTCGAATTGCAGCAGGAAGAGAATTCCATAACCTAACTGCATGTACTGTAAAATATGCTTTTATTTATTTCTGTCACTCAATGCGTCACATTACCATATTTATTCCATATTGGGCTATACTCTAGTTCATAGAAAATGTTAATAAACGCTTATTTTCTTCCGACTTCCAAAAACGAGACGGTACTCAATTCGACTGTACGTTTTTTTTTAATGTGTGTTACCTCATAGTTTTTTACTGGGTGAACAGATTTCGATTTTTTTTTATTTGAAAGCTGGTACTTCTCGCGTGGTCCCATATGAATTTGATCAAGGTCAGACCAATAATTTTTGAGTTATTCTTAATAACTTATATTGAAGTCAGCTGACAATTTTTTTAATTTTAAATTATTCTCATTCAAACTTGATGGATGAATCATTAATTCTCTTATTTAAGATTTTACCGTTCCGTTACCGTTACAGCCTATTAAAGAACACATTGTAGTAGGTAAACATAGTCTCCCCCGTAGATTGCCTAAAACGGGGGTTATTTGCCATAGTTGCCACACTTGGCAAGCGGGTTGGCAACTGCAATTTATTTTTTATTTTTAGTAATTATTAGGAAGACGCTGCTGCCCATCTCCTGATTTGTTTCCCTCTGTCGCAAGATACCTACACGATGGTATGGGGTAGTGCATATTCTTACACCGCTGCTACACGGTTTGAGATTTTAAACAGCGCAAATGTGTAGTGTTATGATACTTACATATCATTTTACACTATTTTAAATTCATTTTTCCATTCTGTTTTGATTTTCTGCATTCACCTCAAAACTGGATATTTTGTATCACCTTTATTTCCATAGGATCCTGTAACGTTTTTAAACCATAAGAACACAATAACAAATCATTTTCACTTCGTATTTTCACGCTATCAGCATTTTTTAATTTGGTGTCGATGGAGTCTACCTTTTTCGATCTTTTATTTAGTTCTCCGTAACTCTGCAATTTCGGGCTTTGTGCGCGCTGGTGCGCTACCTTTTTTCCTATAGCAATAATATCTCAATTTTTACTTAAATCTTGCCGTTTCTCTATCACGAGCCTAAAACCAAAATTTGACATGTTTTGACATCGTTGTTTATCTGGTTGTCATGGCAATTTTTATTCAAATTCGCTACCGGTCTGTTGTTTCTACTTCGATAATTCCACATAAATACTCTTTTCTCTTGGCCATTTACAAAAAAAATTGCTTTTTCCGTTCTCTCTAAAAAGGTATAAAAGCCGAACAATCGGTCAAGAAACTCAGTTCGCTTCGGTTCTCAAACTCGAAGCATCTCCTAAAGGCCTTATCCCGGGGCCGCACTGCCCCGGGATCCTGCAAGCCTCTGTCCTGCCTGAAGTCACCGCGACCCTGTAAGCCTCTGCCCTGCCTGAAGTCGCCGGATCCTGCAAGCCTCTGTCCTGCCTGATGTCGCCGGATCCTGCAAGCCTCTGTCCTGCCTGAAGTTGCCGGATCCTGCAAGCCTCTGTCCTGCCTGAAGTCACCGGGACCCTGTAAGCCTCTGCCCTGCCTGAAGTCGCCGGATCCTGCAAGCCTCTGTCCTGCCTGAAGTCCCCGGATCCTGCAAGCCTCTGTCCTGCCTGAAGTTGCCGGACCCTGCAAGCCTCTGTCATGCCTGATGTCACCGGATCCTACAAGCCTCTGTCCTGCCTGAAGTCGCCGGATCCTACAAGCCTCTGTCCTGCCTGAAGTCGCCAAATCCTGCAGGCCTCTGTCCTGCCTGAAGTCGCTGGGATCCTGCAAGCCTCTGTCTTGCCTGAAGTCGCCGCATCTTGCAAACCTCTGCATTCACCTGAAGTCGTCGCCTAGACACGCCCACGCCTTCACCTACGCTGTGCGTGCTCGTTCCAGGCGCTGTGGGCCTACCACCAGCACAGCCTGTGTATAATCTGTGGGCAGCGAAGACCACCACCAAAAGCGGTGCACCACTTGAATCTTCGGCCTCAACTTCAATACTCATCATTTTTATTTTCTTTTTTTTAGAAATAATTGTAAATCACGTCACCCATCTTCATCCTCATACATCATTTTTTTATATAAATCTGTAAACATCTTTTTTTATATTTTAAATAGATTATTTGTTTTGCCCTATTTTTGTTGTTTTGTTGTTGCTAGGTAAGGTTCTTTTTTGTTTTTAATTGTCGCTTCACGACATTTTGGCGCCCAACGTAAAAGTTCTCTTTCTCTCTTAATTTCTTAACTCTTTATTTATTTATCCTTTTCATACCTTCCAAATTCTTAAACAAAACTTCATCTTGTTTTTCAACTTATCTGGATTATATTTAGACCTACATTTAACACTTCACTTACATTCATCACTTTAATTGTCGCTTCACGACAAATGTTTGTGCATTTGGATCTGTTAGTATTTACGGATGTACTCATAAATAGATATTGTTTTGGTTACTTATTTAGCTACAAATGTTTTAGTGAAGAAACCCACCGCATCCCACGGGAAATATGTTATGATGTTAGGCTTATTGTTCAATCAGGCCTAATAATTGGTGTAAGAAGGCAGATTAATATAATGAATTGTTTAAGAGAAATTCACATCAAACCTTATTTGTATATTCAGGAGTAAATTAAAAATATTTTCACATTATAAATCATGCAGTAAAATGTCAACATCCATTGCGAGATGAAATATTGTCAGTGACATTTATCCTCTTGATGCCTTTTGTTAGTAATACGCTTCTAGCGACTGTGTAGCATCCGTTTGACGAGGGTCTGGATTTATAAACTTATGGCGCTGGCATCTGTTAGAAAGCACTATACAAATAGACTCGTTTTAAGTAAATAAAATAAATGTAGTGGAAAAAGTAAAATATCCAATGATTTATGGGTGTGCGATAAATGGACACTTTGAGTGTGACTTCACCGGAAATCGAGACGAGCGTGAATACGACATTAATAAAATATCCCAAAGACAAGAAATTGTGTATGAATCTAATTTGCCAAATCATCATCATCATCATTACAGCCCTTCACAAGTCCACTGCTGAACATAGGCCTCCCCCAAAGTATGCCACAAAGCACGGTTCTGAGCCACCCGCATCCATCGACTTCCTGCATGTCTTACCAGGTCGTCACTCCATCTCGTGGGGGGACGCCCTACACTTCGCCTACCGGTACGAGGCTGCCACTCAAGAACCTTTCTTCCCCATCGGTTGTCGGTTCTTCGAGCTATATGGCCGGCCCACTGCCACTTCAGCTTACTAATCCGTTGGGCTATGTCGGTTACTCTGGTTCTACTGCGGATATCCTCATTCCTAAGTTTATCACGCAGAGAAACTCCGAGCATAGCCGTCTCCATAGCTCGCTGAGCAACCTGCTGGCCGTATGAGCTTCCTCATACGGCCAGCAGTGAAGGACCACGTCTCAGATCCGTAAGTCATCACTGGCAACACGCACTGGTTGTACAATTTCGTTTTCAGGTTTTGAGGTATGTCTGACGAGAAGATGTGTCGTAGCTTCCCGAACGCTGCCCAGCCGAGTTGAATCCGTCGATTGACCTTTCGGTCGAAGTTGGACTTACCTAGTCGGACTATTTGTCCAAGGTAAACATACTCGTCAACAACTTCGAGCTTAGTGCTCCCAATAACTACCAAATATGTGAAAGGAATCTAGTGTCGCCAGTATTTTTCCAGAAAAATATGATTTTAAACCTTCCAGAAAAAAAACCTAAACTCTTTTATTATGCGGTTATGTTAATTTAAGAGTATCATCAGATATGCCACGTGTAGGGTTACTAGGGTCTGGAATTTAGAATCTGGTTGCTGATTTTATCCAGAAATCAGAATTTAATTAATAGCGCAAATCGGCACTTATCCGCCCTATGTGGCTTTCCACAACGCCAACATGGCCCCGAGCTTCGCTGACTCCGTCGCGTCTCCATGGTGCCTCCTCTAGAGACCGAGCGTAGGTCTCGCCGCCCCCGGCGCTCCCCGGCCTGATGTAAACCTTCGCCTCTTTCTAGACTGCTGCTCCGAACACCTGAGGTCGATGCTGGTGCCGTGGTACCACTCACCTCCGCGTGTCTCTCCGCAGCCTCCAGCGCAAAAGCCAACTCCACCGCCTCCTTGTACCGAATGTTTCTTTCGGCAAAAATACGGGACCGCATCGCCTCGCTCGCAAGACCTGATACAAATTGGTCCCGCAAATTCTCTTCAAGTGTCACTCCAAAATTGCAGGTCGAAGCCAAATGTTTCAGATTTTGCAAATATTCGGCAAGTGATTCATCTCCGAGTTGCCTGCGCAAGCGGAACACGTGGCGCTCTGCAATCTCGGAACGCTGTGGTTCTAAGTGACTCGACACTAAACTCACCAATTCTTCGAAAGTTTTGTCTTCCGGGTGTGCAGGAGAACATAGATCGCACATCAACGAATATGTCGCCTCGCCGACCACGGTTATTAACATAGGAACTCGTAATTCAGACTTGATTTCGTTTAGCAATATAAATTGTTGAACTCGACGAATATACGCGGGCCACTGTTTACTGGCTAAATCGAACGGCTCTAATTTACCAATAGGCATAATTACGACCACTTTATAACGTTTTGGATAATACGAAACAACGCGTGGTTACGGACTCGTCGCCAATGTAACGTCAATAAAAGGCAGAGTTGAACAGCGAACTGGAAGCTTTATTGATACCAACTACCTACATACCCAATAACAAAAATAACTATAATATACCCTACAATTTTATCCAGAAATCAGAATATTTAACCAGCCAGCTTCCCAACAGTAAAATTCAATAAATTGTAATTAGGCTTAATTTCTTAATCAAATAAACAAATATTGCAATGCACTCGCAAATGCACATGCAAGCGCACACGCACACACAAACGCACACATGCACATTTATTAGTAAGTGCTATGGAAGAGTGAATTATATGTGTGTTATGTTAACACTGAATTGGAAAAAAAAATGAATAGAAAATCCAAATCTACATTTCGTCAAATAAGAAATATATTGAAGAAATTTTAGCTCCATTGAATATAAAACTGTAATTTTTGATATACTCAAACATTGTGATTACAAAAAATTTAGCCTGTTCTATTTCAGTTTCATTTTTAATATTGTATTTTATATCTAATATTGTCAAGTTTCATCAAAATACCTTTAGCAGTTTTTGCGCGACTGAATTACAAATATATAACACAACATATTTTATGTCTAAAACTAAAATATTTTGGCTTCATGTGAAGTCGGCTAACACGTATTCGAACAGTGCGGCGGATTAATAACACTCAAATGACAGGAGACTTACGCCCAGCTAAGCGACGTAAAGGCTGTTACTTTACTTTTCCTTACCTTAGGGATAAACCCTACCCTTGGTTTCGTTTTTTAGAACTTTCAATGCTACAATGTTTTTAAGCGACAATAGCCTATGACAGGGTGCGGATTGCGAACTCAAAAGGTTGGCCCAAATCCACCATTCGACTACTATCGAGATCACTCCTAATACAAGCATTTTCAGCTTACCAGTTGTGCTTATAGGGAATATTAATAATATTCATAACATTAATAGTATTTTATTAAGAAAATGCTACAATTTTCAATAAATATTAATCAAAAGTCTTCACTGAAAGAGCCGTTTTTTTTATTTTTAACGACATAATATTATAAATTCGTAAGTCAACTGGTATTATATAATAACGCATAAACACTCAGGTGGCTTTTTGATGAAATTTGTAGCGCAAAGAAGTAGAATAATAAACAATAATATTTCAACGGCAAAGACAAATCTTAAAGGCAAATTTCAAAACAAAACATAGTAGTTCCTAGCTTTAAATAACGCTACAAACTTGAGTTACAAGAACTTAACTGTCTTATATTTTGTTGTGACAAAACTTATTCAATGAGTTTGGATTACGAAAATAGGAGCAACTGCTTTAAGCCTTAAAGAAATTAACTAAAGTTTCTTCTACTTTACAGAAGCTTTAAGTGACAATACACTTTGTACAATATTATATAATTTACGGCTTGTGTTGGAAATTTAAGAGAACTCCTCCATAATTCCTCCCTACACAGCTCCCACGTGATGAAGTCCTAACCCATTATGCGGAATCCATGGACATCATGGGTCCCGCAAAAAAAGAAACGTTTAAAAGTGCCAGTGAGCCCAACTCTAGCGGCAAATTTGGTCTGTGGCTCCGCTCAAAGTTTCGTCCGCGAACAGCGGCGTATCGTGATACCATAGCTCAACGTTTCCCGTGGGTTGCGGTGGGTTTCTTCACTAAAACGTTTGTAGCTAAATAAGTAACCAAAACAATATCTACTTATGAGTACATCCGTAAATACTAACGGATCTATATATATATTATAAATTTTATAAATATTAATCAAGGAGCGTTTCCATTTTATTTGTGTTTTTTATTTGTATAGAAGAAGGATTTTTTTGCTAATGTCGCATTTAAATTAAAAAAATAATTTAATGATTAATATCTCCCTATATACTGAGTTGTATGGGGTCACCACGGTGATCACATACGGCTGATTGCATGATTTTTGATGCACCTAATTATGAGTTTACTATTTAAATATTCACTAATGCGGCAGCGTATTTATTACATAATAGCTTTTTACCCGTGGCTTCGTTCGCGTTAGCTTGAATTTAGGAACATCATTTAATGCTGTTCCGTGCCAAATTTAGCGAAATTGGATCACTTTTACAGTCACCTCGGTGTCTGTGTCTCTATGTATGTCAAAGATTTTTTTTTTTAATTCTAATAGACAATTAGACGTAGATGATGATAATATTATATGCTACAGGAACACGTGAATATATCTAGAACTACCTAGTTTAGTCTAGAACCACCTACTATTCTTTATATCGGATATATATAAGATAGGTAAACTGTCTTGGAATCAAAATTTATTGTTATTATTTTCATTTCACTCTTAACATTCATTCATAATTAAAGTAATTTAGTTTTAACAAAATAACGACGACTTTCATGGTCTTCTATCAATTTACGGTATTATGTTTATTTCGGATATTATATTAATTAATTGGCACTATTTAATATTGATTGGCAACATAAAATATATGTAGATATTATTTTTACGTTCGAGTAGAATTGAAAATTTCATAAATGCAGTACAATAATGATGTATACTACACATGGAATAAAAATAATGTTACGCATTTGATCAAGTTGAGTTTTAACTTCTTTTAAGTGAGGTTTTATACGCATCTTTGGATGAAAGCTCCATAAAACACGTGTAAAAGAACATATCGTTGATGTGAAGCACCGACGCTCCGGGAAGTCTAAAGAGTGTCAACATGTTTAGTATCGATGATGATTCGCGAGGCTATTGAAATTTAAAAAAAATGTCCTGATTTTAATAGGGAAAATGGCTGAGTGCTACCATCTGCTAAGGATCCCATAATAAATAAAATTCAAATCCAAGCATACTACTGCATTTATTCTATTATATTCTTACTCTACTCTATTCTAATTATGACATCAGGTCGTTAAACACCTTATTCCTCCCGTGACAATGAGTGCTATAAAGTGCCCAAAACATCGGGAATTAAAAAATTTAAAATTAAACGTGATAAAATCCTTAAAATTAGTTTTACTTCTTACAAATTTGATTTACAGAGAACGTGGGAAGCATTACACTATGAACGGGGGTAGAAAAATGTTCACCTTGTTGTGGCGGTGAAAGAGAATGCGCCACCTCATATCGTCCCGTCGTAAGAGGAAACATAGGAAAGCAATCAGGAGATGGGCAGCATCATCTTCCTGACAACAGATCAAAATAATAATAGCTGCGGTTGCCAACCCGCCTAGCAAGCGTGGCAACTATAGCAAATATTTAGCTACTTGACGGTTTATGGGGGACGTCTATTTTCATTTTAGTAGACTATTGATAGGCTGACGATATTGAGTTCTACTCATCTTTGCAACCCTTAACATTTACGGTAGAGTGAAAACAAAAAAGTAACATATTGACGAATGAAAATATGAATGAAATAAAAACTGCATATAATGTCCCATAAAAAGTAGGCCGCAGAGAGTTTTTGACCAAAAAAGTGTTCGCTGCGCTGATTCCAACACGGGATTTCCTCGAGGGAATCGTACACGTTTTGTTCCTGTGGCATGATGAATTTTCACGGCGAGCTATACGGCGCTCGTATTTGTTTAAATACAATTCATAAAATCTGTAACTAAGCTTTTGCATGATTGTTGACCACATTTACCTAGTAACTACACATCCAAGGATGCCACGAACAAATTTTCAATCATTTAAATCGTATGTTCAGTAACCTTCTATTATTAAATTTTATCAGTGACTTACTATTTTAGTTTACTTAGAAGTAAGTAGAAGGCGCTATTATTAGATGAAATTATGAAAGGCAAATCTATACTATCTAGTAATATCAGCGATAGAAGCGAACATTTATGTATTATATCAATAATGCATAAAGGGATGTCAAATCTGTTAAAAGTTCTGTTTCTGTTAAAAAATACGCTATCAGCGCCGCTAGACGCTAAACTATTTAGTTATATCAGCATATGACCATATTATCTTTAAACTTGCAACATTGTGTTTAGTTATTAATATCTTCAAACGATTTCTATTCATTGATTTGTTCATGCTTTATCATGACATGGTCAACAAGCAGTGTTAAATATCATGAAATGACCACAACATTTCATGAAATGACCGACAACCGATGGGGAAGGTTCTCGAGTGGCAGCGTACCGGTAGGCGAAGTGTAGGGCGACCCCCCACGAGATGGAGTGACAACCTCGTAAGACATGCAGGAAGTCGATGGATGCAGGTGGATATATATATATCATCATTACAGGCTTTCATAAGTCCACTGCTGAACATAGGCCTCCCGCAAGGAATGCCACAAAGCACGGTCCTGAGCCACCTGCATCCACCGACTTCCTGCATGTCTTACCAGGTTGTCACTCCAACTCGTGGGGGGTCGCCCTACACTTCGCCTACCGGTACGCTGCCACTCGAGAACCGTCCACATCGGTTGTCGGTCATTTCATGAAATGTTTTGTTCACATATCATGTAGAGCCACGCGGCAGCTCTTGCTGTCGCACGGATGGGCCGGCTCGAACCGGGGTGTCCGAAATAAACATAATACCGTAAATTGATAGAAGACCATGAAAGTCGTCGTTATTTTGTTAAAACTAAATTACTTTAATTATGAATGAATGTTAAGAGTGAAATGAAAATAATAACAATAAATTTTGATTCCAAGACAGTTTACCTATCTTATATATATCCGATATAAAGAATAGTAGGTGGTTCTAGACTAAACTAGGTAGTTCTAGATATATTCACGTGTTCCTGTAGCATATAATATTATCATCATCTACGTCTAATTGTCTATTAGAATTAAAAAAAAATCTTTGACATACATAGAGACACAGACACCGAGGTGACTGTAAAAGTGATCCAATTTCGCTAAATTTGGCACGGAACAGTATTAAATGATGTTCCTAAATTCAAGCTAACGCGAACGAAGCCACGGGTAAAAAGCTATTATGTAATAAATACGCTGCCGCATTAGTGAATATTTAAATAGTAAACTCATAATTAGGTGTATCAAAAATCATGCCTGATTGCATGCGTGCATGCGTATATGATCACCGTGGTGACCCAAAACAACTCAGTAAATAGGGAGATATTAATCATTAAATTAATTTTTTAATTAAAATGCGACATTAGCAAAAAAAACCTTCTTCTATACAAAAAAAAATACAAATAAAATGGAACCGCTTCTTGATTAATATTTATAAAAAATTATAATATATATAGATCCGTTGTATCCGATGTTCGGTTCTCACAGCACTCAGTTCGCAGAGCACACCTATTCCTTGACATCTACAAGGCGAGTGGGCCTGACGGAATCCCCCCAATTGTGCCGTGTGTTTCGGAGTTGGCACCGGTTCTACCATGTCTTTTCCGGTACTCCTACTCCCTAGGCGTAGTACCGAAATCGTGGAAGACAGCTGTTGTTTACCCGATTCCTAAAAAAGGCGACCGCTCAGACCCATCCAACTACAGGCCTGTCGCTATCACCCCCTTGTTCTCCAAAATAATAGAATCCGTTATAAACTGCCATCTCATGCGGTACCTTGAGGATCACCAGCTGATTAGTGACCGCCAATACGGTTTTTGTCGGGGTCGATCAGCTGGTGATCTTCTACTTAACTCATAGATGGGCGGAGGCAGTAGAGTCCAAGGGGGAGGCATTGGCCGTTAGTTTAGACAATGCGAACTCCTTCGATCGGGTTTGGCACAAAACGCTTCTTTCGAAGCTCCCTTCCTATGGGTTTCCCGAGAAATTATGCAATTGGATCAACAGCTTTCTTGCAAATCGAGCATCAAGTTCGTTGTAGACGGTGCATGCTCTGACTACAAGCCTATTAACGCTGGTGTTGCACAAGGCTGCGTGCTATCACCAACGCTGTTTCTTCTGCATATCAATGATATGTTCCAAACCGATAGCATTCATTGCAATGCGGATGACAGCACTGGTGATGCTCTATACACCGGCCGTGCCAATATTTCTCGGGAAATCGTCGCTGAGTACCGGAACAAAGTTGTGTCTGAAGTCGAGTCTTTGCTGGACAAAGTCTCGGATTGGGGGCGACTAAATCTAAACCACTTTAATCCTCACAAGACACAAGTTTGCGCGTTTACCGCTAAAAAAGAACCCCTTTGTCGTATCTCCTCAGTCTCAAGGTACTCCTCTTGTTGCGGCAGCCAGTATCGAAATCCTCGGCGTCGACATATCGAATGACGTGCAGTTTCGTGGTCTCTTGGAAGAGAAAACCAAACTGGCCTCTAAAAAGCTTGGCGTTCTCAGCAGAGCTGGACACTATTTCATGCCGGCACAATTCCTGCAACTTTACAAGGCGCAGGTTCGGCCTCTCATGGAATACTGTTCCCATCTCTGGGTTGGGGCTCCCCAGTGCCACTTGACCGCATCCAGCGCAGAGCCGCTCGAATCGTCGACAATCGAGTCCTTTCCGATCGGCTCGACCCATTGGCGCTGCGAAGAGATGTTGCATCTCTTTGCATTTTCTTTCACATTTACCACGGGGAGTGCTCTGAGGATTTGTTCGGATTAATCTCAGCCGCCAAATTTCACGAACGCACATCGCGGCAGAACTTCCGATACAATCCACACCATCTGGATGATTGGTGGTCCATCACTGTGCGATTTAGAAGATGTTTTCTTCCTCGCACAACATCCTTGTGGAATAGTTTACCACCAGTGATTTTTCCGGACTGATATGACTTAGGGACCTTCAAGAAAAGAGCCTACTCCTTTTGAAAAGGCCGGTAATGCATCTGCAATTCCCCTGGTTAATTATAAGAGAATATAAAATAATTTTTGCGAAGGACAAGTATGATATAGGATCAGTTAAAGATTATAAAGCTCATATATATTTACTAGTAAATAGATACTGTAGTAAGAGACCATACAGATGTACAATAGAAGAAATTTATTAGAAATTGAAGAGCAAATATCCATGTTACTAAAGAATAATTTAATAGAAGTATCCTACGGTCATGTTGCTGCACCAGTGACATTAGCATTTAAAAAGCTGAAAATAGAAAATCCCGCTTATGTGTAGATTTCAGAGAACTGAATAAAATTGTTGTACCACAACCTCAACCTTTCCCAATAATAGATGATTTGATTATTAAAACTAGAAATTGTAAATATTTTACTACTATGTTTATAAACTCAGCATTTTGGGCCATACCACTACGGGTGAAAGATAGAAATAAAACAGGATTTGTAACACAAGATGGCCACTTCAAGTGGACCTACCTGCCTCCCTTTTGGCTTGAAAACATCACCAGTAATTTTCACAGGATACTCCGTAAACTATATTGATGATATTTTGATATACCCGTCCACCTTTCAAAAACATATAAAATAATTTAGAAGTGTATTAGAGGTAATAATAAAAGAAGGCTTTAGATTCAAGCTTAAGAAATGTACCTCTGCTTCAGACTAAGTAAAGTATCTTGGCCACGTAATTCAGAACAATTCAGTAAGACCACTGAAAGACAATTTGATTTCAATAAGACATTTTCTAACTCCCAAGACGCTAAAGAATATCAGACATTTTTTGGGAAAAATCAACTTGTAGCATAAATACATACCAAGAAGCGCAATTATCTTAGATCCATTACATAATTTATTAAGAAAAAACGAAAAGTTTGTCTGGTCAGAGAAGTGTGAAGAATCATTTAATCAAATAAAAAGATATTTATGTTCTCAACTGGTATTGGAAATATATGACAAAGGCTTACCAATAAAAATCTTTACAGATGCATCCTTAGAGGGCATCGGGGCAATACTAAAACAAACACAACTAGACGGTAAAGACAAACCGGTGGCATATTTCTCAAAAAACCTGAATTAATCTCAAAAACGAAAAAAGGCTATATATTTGGAATGTTTTGCTATGAAAGAAGCTGTTAAATACTGGCAACACTGGCTCATTGGAAAACAATTCACTATCTACTCAGACCACAAACCTCTAGAGAACATGAACATTAAAAGCAGGACAGACGAAGAATTGGGTGATCTCACATATTACCTGTCTCAATATGACTTTACAGTTAAATTTATACCTGGCAAAGAAAATGTTGACGTAGACCGTTTGAGCCAAAACCCTTTATCAGAATCAGAAGATAGCAAAGAGGAACTATTGAAAATAGTTAATTAAATACAAATAAAAGATATAGTTGTAGCCAAGAGAAAAAAAAATTATGATGTTAAGGAAAATTTGGATTAATGTCACAACTGGGACCAGCAACAAAACCATTTGAGATTATGTCAATGGATGCTATCGGTGGCTTTGGAGGCTCTAGGTCAACAAAAAATACCTACAACTTTTATTAGCCCACTACACAAGATATTTTGCGATTGGTTTATTGCGATGATACACATTATGCAAGTCTCCTTATAAAACTAACAAAGAATGTGCTTGAGACACAGAAGATCAAGATCAAGATCAGAGAAGGTATCAATTCAAGATAATAAGAGAACTTGGACAACAGGGGCCAGATAATAATATAGAGAAATTTAATGAAATAGAACACTCCGTTACAGGCTTTCCACTAAAATATTTACTGAATGGTACGAATGTCAGAATTCTACCAAATGAATTAAAACAACAGAAAGGTAAGACAAGTAGATGGCTAATAGAAGATTGTCATTAGAGAATACATTAAAATCACACAAGTACAACAAGAAAATATTTGATAGAAATAGGAAAATTCAAGAGTTTAATAAAGGAGACAGTGTATATGTAGAAAATGGAAATAAATTGAATAGCAAGAAATTAGACGAATTAAAAATAGGCTCTTGCAAGATAGAAGAGAAAATATAGAACTCCATTTATAGGATTGACACTGGCAACAGAAAAACAGAATCAACTTTATTCCACATAACAAAATTACAACCTGTCACAACAGAAGCTGAAGAAGATGAAGTAGAAGAAAGCGAACTTATAGGTACATTATGTGGATATGTTGTTTAGAATTTTCACTCTTAGAGGGGGAGATGTAATGAAATGACATTTCATTAAATTGTATTTGCCGTGCTTCGCTCGTGTATTAGGTTTTCTGTGGAAGTGAGTAGAGGGCGCATCGGAGTGACGCGCATTTCAATGGCGGATGATGTTAAGATTTTAAGGATAACTCAAAAACTATTGGTCTGACCTCGATCAAATTTATATGGGACCACATGTGATACACTAGCTCTTAATAATAATCGAAATTTAAGTAATCGATGCAAATATTGTTAAAGATGACATAGCAACTAGTTAAATAAGTTTTTTCTTTTATGTTGAATTTGTATAAGTCTTTTCTACTAAAAAAATGTCATCTGTGATCAACACTTACTTCTAAAATTCTTACGGTATTTTCTAAAATATTGATATTTTTGAATATTTAAAAAAAAATTAGTAGATGCGCCTTCTTATCATGAGTCGAATGGTATATTTAACTCATTTATTCAAAAATTGTTAGATGCGCTCTTTTTTCTTATGACGGCAGCATTGTTTCGCACCGAGCTAGATACAGGTCAACAGTGGAGGGAGTGTGGGTACAGTCGCGTTCTAAAGTACTACATGATATTGGGCTATTGTTTTATAATATTATAGTAATTAATTGTTTTATTGTAGAATCATAATAGGTGTTTTACTAGCTACTTAGAACTTTGGAAGACGTTGGAATTAAAAATGGATAATGTTTACTTGAGCATTATTTGTTATTTCTATCGTAAAATATAAAGTAGTTTGTAACAAGAATACTTAAGCTAAGGGTAACACGCCGTCCATTATGTCGTCTTGGGTCACATGGAAGCCAGATGTTGATGGTGTGTTTGTGTTACTTGATGCTACTTCATCATCACTTTCATCTTCGCTTGAGCTTCCGTCATCAGGTCGATCACATGGCAATTTTTTCGGTATTCTTCCTCAACAATTTTAACTTTACTGCACAATTTTCCCCATTCACCTTCTCCCATCATATTTACCTTTTCGTTCACTGGTTCAGTCATAAAACAATAGATATAAATAATTTTTCTTTCCTTCCTTTTTAAAACCATCGTCGCGAGTCACAAAGTAAGCTGTGTATGCGACTGTATTTTGGGAGCGAACAAAGCGCGGGAACCAATAGCGTGCGGCCACTGTAATACTGGCGGATTGTTCCCCCGTCGCGCCACCTTCTCACCACTCACTCATAAATCGCTCAGTGCCCAAGATCAAGGCCAGCGTTCTTTTTTCAGCGTTCGCGCGTACGTTGACCTTTAATCAGCTGATATGAATTCAGTAATTCCACTGCTGGTTTTATGTTTCAGAATTTTCATGATTTTTTTTAATGAAATTATCTTTTCATGTAGCGGTTCTAACATGATAGAGAATGAATAAATGAGTCTAATAAAACGTTGTGAAAGGATGATTTTTCATTCATCAGGATCGATTTTATATTCCACCCATCATCAAAGGTGTAACTTGGTACTGTCGTCTGTCTTAGTTTTCGGTAGCGTTCCAAAAATACCCTGTATATTTCTTGATTTAATATTTTGAAACATGGTCTATGTAAATAGGATTTAAATAAGTATCTATTTTTGCGATTCTTCATAAAGTATTAAGAGAAAAACTTTCTTTGATAACTTGCAGCTGATGCATGCACACTTGCGAGCAATGGAAATGGGCCGGCAATAAAATCTTTTTTTTAAATATTTAAATAAAATGGAAGAAACTGTTGTGGCCATAATTAAAAAGTGACCTTTAAAAGTTTGAAATTGCAAATTGACCTTTTTATTGTTGTTGCTGGAACAGATCGAACCTAGGTCGCTCACGAATATGCGATATATAATAATGCAATTACTTAATAGTAAATTTAACTTGTTAACTTGATTTTTCTGCCGACTTCCAAAAAGGAGTCGGTACTCAATTCGACTGTATGTTTTTTTTTTTTTGGTTTTTTTTTTTATGTAAGTTACCTCTGAACTTTTTTCTGGGTGAACCGATTTCGATGATTCTTTTTTTATTTGAAAGCTGGTACTTTTCGTGTGGTCCCATATGAATTTGATCAAGGTCAGACCAAGAGTTTTTAATTTATTCTTAAATAACTTATATTGAAGTCGGCTGTACAAAATTTTTAATTTTAAATTATTATTGGCTGATAATGACTAAACGATGAGCCCTTTGAAGTAAGATTTATTGTTTTAAAATTTATTAAAACAACAACAACTGTAAATAAATATGTATTTTACGGTTTATGTTTTTTTAATTAATTTTAAGCATTAAATATGCACATATGTATAAATTAACTTTTATGTATTTTATTGAAACACTTATTAAGACTATGAAACATTTTTTGTTTGGAGCTAGCATTAAGATTTATTATATATATATATATATATATATATATATATATATATATATATATATGATATTTAAGATTTCTGCGTCGGACCTAAAAAACTAACTAAAAAACTAGCTTTGTTAAGCCAGGGCGAGTAAACTAAGTTAAATTCTTTGTGAAGTTGCAACTGAATGTTCTTTTAATGAAAAAAGAACTTTATTTTGTAAAGTCATCCTTTGTTGCTTGAAAATGAATGTACTATTCTCAAGAGCTACAAAGAATCCAGGTACTTTGAAGAGTTAAAACAAGAAGACTTCATTCTTGCGCATTACAATTGTTTTATTTAATTTATTTATTTATGTTTTTTATATCGATACAAACAGGTTAGTGTTTTAAATATGCACTAAACACTCATGCTGTCTATTAAACTCGCTTTGCGACAATAAATTTTATAAAAAGCATGTTGAATTTCAATGCATTGTGATCATTCACCATCTCCGTTATTATAATGTATACTTTCGTATATTTATCGATCTCCTTGGACTTCACAAATTCAACTTATCTATGTGAAAGTATATGTAAAGCCGTATTTGGACGTAAGCCGCTGGCGTGAGACTATTCAAGTAAGACCGAACTTATGCATTTCAGTAAGTACTTTACACTGGTATTTATACGTACTTATTGTTTGCAAATAAATGTTACTATTGCTAATTTATGGAATTTATGATCGGTATCGAAAACGGGCTTAAATCGTGGATTCCAGTGATAAATTAAATTGCATACAGTCCGTACGGATAAAGAAATAATATAAGAATGAATTTTAAAACAGGACTGATTTAGACTAAAGTCTAGATCAATCCTGTTACAATAGGTAAAAGTGGTAAAATGCTCTAGTTTCAAGGGCCAAGACCTACTAAGAAGTCGTGGCACCGTAGGATGAGTTAAATACTGTTAGTAGCAGCTAATTTATAATTATTTATGTATAGGAAGAATTATCCTAGAAAATAGAGTGTTCACCATGTATGATTATTTAATTTTAGAAAGAGAAAGCTTTTATTTCGAGACTTCAAATAAGTGCTACTTTGAGGCTTATTTTTGATGTTACGAGTACATATTACAAATAGTTATTTACATGCATACATACATATAATCACGCCTCTTTCCCGTAGGGGTAGGCAGAGACCAGTTCTTTTCACTTGCTACGATCCTTACATACTTGTTTTGCTTCGTCCACTTTCATTATTTAATAGTTATATATTATATATTAAATAAAAAAGATAGTTATATATTATTTAATAGTTAATAGTTATTTATTTATATAATAGTGATATATCTCAGTGATATCTTTTATTCCCCTTTCATATTATTAAAAAATAAAGCATTCTTTAGTTTTCTTTAACATAATATTTATACGAGTAGCAATAGATGCACAATTTTTTTTTGCAAATAAAGTTGGCTTTAGGTCATAATGATCTCTTCACGTTCTATTAAGTAAGGATTGTTATAAACATTAAATGATCCACATAAGGACTAGAAGAAGAAAACGATACTTTTCTTTTTTGATAATAATAATAATAATAATAAAAATGTTTTATTTCAGTAAATCTTTTTTACAATTGATTTGCCAAGGCCTCCCAGAAAGTAATCCTAAGATAATTGTGTTGGGAGTGCCTCGCTCTTCCTATGCAATCATAACACTTCGATTTACATTATAATATAAAAATAGCCAAATTTGATTTAATAGAACAGAGTTACATAATTAATAGAAAGAAAGGAGTTTATGAGAAATGAATACCTGAGTAGTTGAATCCGTAGTGTGTTAGTTTGAGGTGTGTGTGTGTATGTGTGT